CAGCTGCTCATCTGCTCTCGTGTCCTCCCGAAAGGGAATTTGCATCTTCTCCAGCTCAAACTGTTTGTCCGTCCGTGTCTCTGCAGACCTGGCTGCTGTCTGTGCCAGAATCCAAGCGTCATTCTTGGTACACCCCACCCCCCTTCAGCCCCCTGGGTAACCGCCCCCACTGATTCTCCTCGCTCTCCTTGCTCAGCCCAGTCCCTCTCCCAGCCTCCTTCCCCACACCTGTGGATCGTGGGCATGTTCACCTGCATCGTGTCATCAGCCTCCTCACCTCCGAAACTGTGTCCCCAGCTCCAAGCTGGCCCAACCCTCTCTGGGCTAGGTGACAGCCAGAGGGAATTTTCTGAAGTACAAAAGCAAATGTCGTTGCTCTGTTTGTCACTTGGGGCTCTCCTTTGTCCTCAGGCTAAAGTCCAAATGCTCTGGCAAGTTTTCAAAGCCCTGGAGACATCGGCGGCGGCTGGCCTCTCCAGCCTGGCTCTCCCCACCCTCCTCCTGCACCTGACCCCGCAACCATACTGAACCTGTGAGACCCTTCTACCGGAATGCTTTCCCTGTCCTCCCCCAAAACACACACCTATTTGTCCCTTTTAGCTCCCCACCCTTCAGAGCTTGGTGTAAATACCACTTCCTCCAGGAAGCCTTCCCTGGGCTCATCCCTCACAGGAGGGCCGCCCAGCCCAGCAGGCCTGAGAGAAGGTGAGTGACCTCTGTGGGCGTGGCAGCTGTGTGTGTGGACATCGCTCTCTGCCCGGGTGCAACACGTTTCACATGAAACATGCATGATGACTGAGCATGAGTGGCTCCTGGAGTGTCCAGGGACTGTGGTACCTGCTGTGCACGGTACCTGACACACGCCAGGGGCTGCTTTCAGCGTTCTGTACAGTCCACCTCTTGGGGTGGTTTAGCAAGTTGATAGGTCTTGTCATCCCCATTTTGCAGAGGGGAAAACCGAGGCCCAGAGAGGTCAAATCACTTGCCCTAGGTCTCACAGCTGTGAAGCGGTGCAATGAAGGTTGAACGCAGGCAGCCCACATTGGCTCTGAACAGCTCTGCTGTGCTCGGCAAGCTGAAGTCACACATGCTGGCAGGGGTGACCCTCTGGCATGTCCCTGTCTGCAGCACAACAGAGTAGAGAGATGGAAAAGAGCCAGATGGAAAAGTCCGAGGAGCCCAGGGTGGGAGCTGGGGGTGGTCCCACCCACACCTCTTCCAACAGAACTGCCACGCCAGGCGCCATCCTCGGGGCAGAGCGGGGACAGGTGCCAGGGCAGAGCAGCACGGCCCCCCCAGATGAGCCTGCACGGCTTGTGGACCTGCCTGGATCCTGCTTCAAGCACATCAAAGGTCACAGGTGCTTCTAAGACAAAGAAAGGTGAACACTGACTGGATAGTTGATATCTGGTATGTTGCAAGAACCGGGTGAGAAGAGGTTTTCTGACCCCTGGCGTTGAACTTGTCCTGGGCAAGAGTGGTCCGTGCAGCACAGGGCTCCGGAGCTGCAGGGTTACCGTCGTACACGTGCCTCGGCGCGCCGAGTGCCACTCGTCTTTATTTTCAGTTGTGACTCGTGGTCACACCTCTTGTTAAAGAGCCATTCTCTTTGACAGATAAACACTAGGTGGCAGATGTCTGAGCTTCGCCCACGGACAGGGGAGAAGAGAGGGAGTCCGTGGACAAAATCAGCCGAGAGCTGAGGACCGTGGGGCTAGGGGGTGGTGCGTGGGCTCCACCGGATCATTCTCTCACTTTTGTGAATGTTTGAAATTTTCCAAAATTAGATCTTTTCAAAGGCTCCACCTCTGGCTCATCATCTTCACTCCATCTGTCCTGCTCTGTAAACAGATTAAATGGTGAAACATTCAACTCACCAGAGGAAATTGCACCTACAAAGGAGGCTGCCGAGATGTTCACCGCCTGGGGAGGGGGCTGGCAGGAACCTTGGCAGCTCGAGCGGCTGGGTAGGAAGCAGGAGGTGGGGCCCGGACGGAGAAGATCCAAAGTCGAACGTGATAAAGAGGCTCCGACCCTCAGATGCCGTCTCCGTGGGGCCGAGGTGAGTCCAGAGGGCAGCACGCGCTGGAGCTCAGAGTGGAGGGCCCAGGCCGGTGAGTGGTCCCCCGCAGCAGCAACTAGGGGGTCTTGGTCAGATTTCCAAAGCGGAGCCTGCGACACGTGGGTGAGGGAGAACCCCAAGGGAGCAGGACCGGGCCGGGGAAATGAGCCACGGACAGGTCTGAGCTGCCAGTACCTTCAGCCTGATCCCTCACTGGGGAGGAGAGTGGGGAGCTGCTCAGAAGCACCAGCTTGGCCCCCACTTGAGGCAAGGAGCTGGGACTTGTATACGCCATGCTCAGGGCTGGGGGGAGGGTGTAACTCACACTCCCCAGAGGGAGCAGCTGTGAGCCCTTAGCACCAACAATTCCAGCAGCTAGAAATGGGCGTCCACCCACGAAGGGGATCCGGGAAGGGGTGGGGGGGGCACCGACAGCATCTGCCCCGTGGAGGAATCCAGCGCCGAGAGCCCTGTCCTGCTGGCTGGCTGTGACCACGACAGCTGGGCTGGGGAGGGGCCTCGGCCACTTCCATTCCAGTCCCAGGAACCCCACACAGAGAAGCCCGTTTTGAGGAAGCAGAGCCCACCAGCCCCTCTGGCACACGCGTGACGGTGCCGCTCAGCCCCGCCTGTCCCGGCCTGGCACGCATGCACACGCCCTCGGAGGCTCTCCCCGGCCTCTGGGCCTGCACAGCACAGTCTGGGCAAGGTCGCAGGTTTCTCTGCCTGGGTTTGCTCTGCGTGCAGAGCTCCAGAGGCAGACCTCAGCCTCCAGTTCGAAACACCGAGTGTCCTCCTTCCCTCTGCTCACCCTTCCCCGCCTTGCCGAGGGGCCCAGCGCCCCCATGGCCCTCTCCGCCTGGGGGCACCCCTCCGGGCGATGAGAACCAGACCAGGACCAGACGGAGCCTGGTTGGCAGGATGCCAAGCCTGTGGCGGGCAGGGTCTCCCACACTTATTTGACCATGGAATCCTTTGGCTGCTGATCTGTCGGGACCAGTGATCCTGGAACAGACTTTGAGAAAGGTTACTCTGGATTCTTGAACCGAACTCCCTAGTGGCTATTTGAACCATTCCCACCGCCACAACTCTGGAAAGGGAATGCCAGGTGGAGGCACAGCTCCGGTGACCGGGCACACACTGTGCAACCTGTTCCCTCTGCCAAGACGTCTCCCTCCTTCTGTGCTTCCCCGTGGTGTCAGGCTCGGGTCCAGGCTCCGTCTTCTCGAGTGTACAGAAGTCGAGTTGCAGCCTGTGGCTAAAGATCAGGTCTCTGCCACCAACTACTCCTCCGTCCAGCTATGTCAGAGGGCGCTGGGAATTGAGACAGGGACAAATTCCCAAACACAGTGGGGTCAGGTCCCGACGACAGTCGCGCACCGTGTCCCTCCGGGCTCAGCGGCTGGAGCCCAGGGAGGAGAAAGGCCCAGCCTCCTCTCAGCCCTCTGCGCTGACCCAGGAGTTGTCACTGCAGGCACGTGCTAATACGATCAGGGTCCCAGCGGCACAGCACAGAGCGCCGGCGTCAGGCAGCCCCAGTCCTAGGCCGAGGCACCTTGACCTCCCTGAACCTCGGTTTCCTTTTCCAAAGAAAGGAGTCAACTTCCTGGGAATTTAGGGGGGTCAGCAGGCACAGTGCCCCGCAGAGAGCTGGTGCTCACCAACCCGAAGGACCCATCTGGCCCTCAGCTCTTCCTTCCCACCCTGTTCAGGATTTAGCCATCCGGGCTGCCTGTCCCCTCCGGTCTCCCAAGGCCCTTCCCCCTCTCATCACCACCATGACAGAGAAAACGCGAAGTGTGGATGTTCATACGGGACCTCCTGCATTCACAGTCAGAATTAAAGTCTTGGGGAATATGCTTCTCCTTTCTTTTCACTAGAAAGAGTAAAAACAGGTCACTCCCTTTAAAGGATTTCCTCATTAGTCCTGTCCCCTTGGAGAATCATCTCCTACCAAGATCCCCACAGCCAGCCCCCCTTCTCCCCTCCCAGCCCCGCCCACTCCATTCTCCTAGGAAAAAGTTCAGCTTTTTACCATGTTACCAGGCAGCCCCCCAAGTTCTGATGTGTGCCCGGCATCAACACACAACGTAGAGATCAAGACCCTCAGCAAGTAGTGCTTTGAGCCTCCTGCCGAGTTTTCTCCAGCTGTTTCCTCATGTCCACTGAAACACCCAAAACATTCATTCCGTTCAGCGAGGCAAGGGTACCTGAAGGATTCAAGCCCACAAGCTCTGGAGCCAGCCTGCCAGGCTTTCATCCGAGCCCCGTCACGGACTAGCTGTGTGACCTTAGGCAGGTGGCTTAACTTCTCTGAGCATCATCTGCAAAACGAGAGCAGGGATAAGGACAAAGTCAGATAACGCATATAAAATGCTTATCACACGGCCAGGAAGAGAGAAAGTCGTTTTAAATGTTGACTCGGAGTCTTGGTTAAATATTGACTTCCTAGCTCAACACTGGCTTGTCCTCAGTCCTCAGTCCTCAGCCGTGGTTTCCTACCTTTCTCTTCCCCGTTGTCCCAAACCCAGGAGGTGGCACCACCACGGGTGGTGGGATAACTCGTTGATCCCCACCTGCCCTCATTTGCCTTGTCAGGGCCAGTAGGTGGGGACTATTTACAAGGCTCCCCACACGTGCCGGTTGGGTGAGATCTGTCTGGATGGGTGGGAAGTCTGTCTGTTCCTTGTTTTCCTGCCCAAGAAGGAGCTATGTCCCTGCAAACCCCACAGAGGCTGTGGGTGGCAGTTTCTCCCCACCCCTGGGAACCGGGTTATTCCAGGTCAAATCAAATTCAGGGGCTGCTGGGCAGAACACCCTGTCCCAGAAGGCAGAGATGACAGGCACCGAGTCTCACCCGGGCACAAGCCCCAGAAACCAGACGGGTTCTGACTCGGCCCGTCTCCTTGGCTGGCAGCCAGGATCCTCGGCCAGAGTCATGGCAACAGAAGCCACCCAAGCAGCTACAGTTGCTCCCAGATCCGGAGCTGGGGGGCTCGAGCCATGGCAGGCCCTCAGCCCGCCCCAGCCTGGCCACACAAGTCTAGCCCAGACGGCCCCTCCGCCTGGCCGCCTGCCTCCCGACTGGCGGCACACGAAGCCTCGGAAGAGGAGCATCCTTCTCCGGGGAGTGGGCGTGAGTGTCCATTTCCTGGGGCCCTGAGGGTGCGGGGAGAAGAGCGGGTACATGGGGAGGGTGCTGGGGAGCCCCAAGGACCGAGGAAGGCCAGAAAGCCTCCAGCTTCCTGGCTTAACACTCACCCTAAAGTCGAAAAGGCCATGAGAGGTGGCAAGAGCCGAGTACACCCACACCAGGGCTGGCCCTCAGGGAGTCCTCAACAGCCCTTTCCTCCTTCGCTTCCCCACCCCAAACCGGCCGGACGATGACTTGACCCGCACCTGCCTTCCGAGGAGTGGTCCACCCTTGCAGACCCGGCAGGGGCCCTCGAGGGTGGGAAGCGGACTCAGTGGGCCCAGGCAGCAGCAGCCTCGGCCAGGGCCGGGCCCTCACAGCGGCTCCCTGTCCCCGCCCAGGCTGCCCAGGTCGCCATCGCCGCGCTGCACCTGTTCCTCGGGGGCTACCTGGCCTTTGCGGCCAAGAGCCTTCACCTGGTGATGATGAAGTCCTGGTACCCGTTCTGGGGCGGTGCCTCTGTAAGTAAGAGCTAAACATGGGCCGGTGTGGGACCCCGCGTTTGGGACCGGAGGCAGGGTGAGGCGGAGAGAGCTCCTGAAAGGGAAGCTCCAGGCAGTGCCTTCTCCAGTGTCCTCTCGGCTCACGCCCTCCACTCAAGCTTGAAACGGCTCCTTGCCGGGCGGCACTCCGGGCTCAGCACCGTCCCTCCCTTAACACCCGCCTCCAGCAGAGCAGGGGATGAGCCCGCATGGGCGCAGCTCGACCTCCCTGGGGCTTCCAGGCCGCCAGGCTGCAGCAGCGCATCGCGGGCCCTAAGTCCGCGGGGTCGGTCTGCAGGAGCACGAGGTGTGAGCCGTGGATCCTGTCCTCCCAAGGCCATGGGCCAGGACAGAGGGCGAGAGGAGACCGGTGCACACACCGTTCCCGAGTCTCTCCAGGGCATCCTCCCGCCCCTGGGCCTTGGGCCCTGCTCACATAGTGTCCCAGCTCCATGGCACCCCCTGGGGCAAGGGTCCCAGCCCCCCACTGTCACTTCGGTCCACTTCCAATGCACAGACATGGAACCGTCTCCATGTGCAGTGCCCACTCCTCCCTGTGCCCCAGATGGGCATGGAGTAGGTGCTCAGCAAACACTTGAAAATATAATTGCAGAAATACGCCAGAGACCTTGAAGGGAGAGCTAATCTCCCCACTGCAGGATTCGGGAAGGAGAAAGGGTGCCCGTGGAGGGGAGAGTTCAGCTGAGCCCAGAGGGTGTTTGGGGCTGATACAGTGGGGAAAGCGGGAGGGCCTGGGGGCACGCGGAGCGCGGGCACTTCCGCCCCAGGTGTGGGGGTTTGGTGCCCAGCAGCTGGCTGAAGCCGGACGGGCGAGGGGCAGGCAGGTAAGCTCCTTTATTGGAGAAATGGTGTTCTCAACCCCACTGGGTGCCACAGGTGGGGTTTCTTAGAGAAGAGTGAGAAGGGAAGGAATTTGAGGGTCACAAGGAACCCCAGCTTCTCGCTTACGACGGTTTCAAATCTGGCCTGCAGTTCCTCATTTCAGGGGTCTTGGCGATAACAATGGACGTGGTTTCGAAGCCCTCTGTGGTAAGTTGGCGCATTGAGATCATTCCCTTCCGTCCAGCCTGGGGTCGCCTTGTGTGGCATCTGTACAGAGTGCAGATCCAGCCAGGATTTGCCAGGAGCAGGTGCAAGTCTTCAAAACAGCGGAGGGCGTCCCTGCAGAAAGGGGCCCCTGTCCTGGAGGTCTGCCCTCACTCACGCCCCTGACTCCACGCCCTTCTCTCCACCCAGCTGTTCACCTTTGTGTCTGGCCTGGAGGCACCATCCAGCCCACTCTGCACACAGCAGCCCAGTGCTGTGCTCAGTTCGTCCGACCATCACCCCACTGCGGTCGGCTCCCCCCGGGTTCCCTGGGCCCTGGGCTTGCCTCCACCAACAGAAAGTCTGCAAGCCCCAGACCGCAGCTGGGTTTCCATCCGCTTCTCGCCTCCAAGTACCAGCCTGACCCACGGAGGCCTCCCCGGGGCCGTGCTGTCCCCTGCCCAGCACCTGGCCCTGGCCCTGGCCCTGCTGCACCTTTGTTCCCTGCTTGACTCACTGCTGATCGTTTTCCAAGACTCAGCCCACATGCCTCGTCTTCCTTAACCTGCCCTGGCTGGCGTCTGTGTCCGCACAGCTCCTGGGACATGCCTGGCCCCTTGTCTCTCTCCCTACACGAAGGTGCCTGAGCATCTTCCCAGCGGGGTGGTGGGAGCAGGCACAGGGTAGACACCAACACAGGACTGGCTGGTGTACGTGGAGGATGGAAGGACTAGCCCTCCCCCTCCCACCTCACGGCCTCAGCCCATCCCAGCCCCTGAAGCCCTGGCTGGTCCACGTCGGTGCCCTCAGCCTGGTCTGGGCTGTGGCTGTCCCCGGCCCTCACGGGGTGTAGAGAGCAGAGGGTGTTGCACAGTTGACCCCTCAGAGGCAGGAGACGCACGGCCAAGCCCGCCCCTTCCTCCTGGGCTGGGAACTTCAGAACCTGAGCTCAGGGAGCCTCTTAAGGCAGAGAAATCTATTCTAGCACAAGAGGCTGGGGTTCCCTATGTTAATGGGGTTCTCTTCGTTACAGAGGTTTGCACTTGCTTAGAGGCTCCTGGAATAATGCTTAACACAAGATGATGATGCGTGGAGGCATTTCGGGGACCATGCTGGGGGGAAGGAGGGACTGGTGAGGACAGGGCACCGTCAGGGTGCGGCCCCTTCCTGTGGGGAAGAGGCTGGGCGAGGGGCCATTTGGGTGTCGAGCCCTGGATTAGTTGGCAGATGTAATGCCAGGATGGTGGGGGCTGGCTTTGCAAGGGAGGCACAAGGGAACACCCTTCTTTATTACAAACCTATGGACCTGGAGGCAGCCCCTGGGCCCCCAGTCCTGTCCCCATGGAAGGTGAGAGCCTCTGGGGCCTCTGTGCTCAGCGGGCTGGAGTCGCTCGCCCAGAGACGGGCAGTCTCCCTGAGGCCCCGAGCCAGCTGCTGGCAGGCCTGGACCCGTGTGCGTCTCTAACCTCGGAAGTGGTTGTCACTTGTGTTTTTTGCTTGTAGAAAGTGCTGTGCCTGATCGGAAACGCCATCAGCTGCTTCTGCGTGCTGGCCGGCCTCTTTGTCATGGCCAAGGATCTGTTTCTCGAGGGTCCGTTCGAGTCTCCGGGCACAGTGAGCGCCGGGGCTCCAGGGCCCTCTGATTCCGGGAAGGCGGTGCCTGGGGCCTGGCCAACAAGCTTCGGGCTCTCGGAATAACTCTGTGGAGCCAGAGGCAGGGGGCGGGGACCTCGGCCAACCGTTCCCACCCACGAGGAGCAGTGCAGAGGATGCTGCCTTCTCGCTGGTCAGCACCGCTCAGCCAGTCCATCCCTGGTACAGAGGGGGACACTGAGGCCAGACTGGGGTCGGTCTGAGGGCGAGCGGCAAGTTGGTAGCAGAGTCAGGCCCACAACCTGGAACTGCTGATTCCCTGTTCAAGGCCCCGTAGACACTGGAGCCCCAGCGACCCCAATATCATCATTCGTGAGCCTCACAGCAGCCTTGCAGAGCTGACCCAGTCCAGCTCGGTTCCCCATTTCATGGGCGTGAGTGCTGAGATCCAGAGACGCTAAATGAGTGGACCGAGACCACACAGCAAGTCAGGGGTGCAGTGAGGACCCAGCGCTGGGTCTGTGATTCATGTCCGGTGCTCCTGTCACCTCAGCCACCTCCGAATCAGGAGGTGGACCAGCCATCCCATGTATGCGGCCGAGGGCCTCTGGGTCAGGGTCCAAGGGTTCTGACCATGCTGGCTCACTGTTCCTGACCGCCGTCCACCATGCACGCACCTGTGTGAGCACACATGCATGCACACACGTGCTCAGACGCACACGCACATCCCCACCGAAGGCTCTGGCCCCACGAGATGTCCCAGCTGCACGCTGGTCCCCAGCTGTGAGAGACACTCCGCCTCTCTGAGCCCCAGTGGCCCCATCCGGGTAGGGTTGAATGAGATCATGCCTGAGGCCACCTGCAGTCCAGGGACCCATGAGGTTCTCCAGCGCTCAAACGCTGGATAAATGTCACCAAGGACCCGTGGGTGCCAGGCAGTGGGCACAGAGCAGTGACAGAGACAGACCCACTCCTGGCCCCACACCGCACCACCCCCACCCCCACCCCCACCCCGGCCCTCCCCATGCTGAAGGCCCACTGGGAGCTGAAGCCCCACTGCCCCCTGCTGGCTGGGTCTGACCCCTGCCCGTGCCCAGTGACAGGTGCAAGGCTTCACCTTGTCCCTCCCTCCAGCAGGTCCACATCCAGGAGCTGGAGCTGGCCCTGCTCTGCCTCACCTGCTTGGAGCCCTTCCTGCCTGGGTCCCTGGCCATCATAGCCTGCAGGGACAGCTGCCTGTCTGCAGAGGTGAGGGGCTTCACGAGATGGGCACATGAGGAAACAGAAGGCCCAGGAAGGGGCGTACGGACAGGGGTACACCAGGAGCATGTCTCTCAGTCATTGTCCAGCATTTACTAAGCGGGGTCACAGAGGCAGCACACGGTCCAGTGGGGGAGGGAAGGCACAGGGCAGAGAATGCCACCTGGAGGTGGAAAATCCCAGGGCACCAGAGAGAGAAAGCCCTGGGCTCTCAAAGCAACAGGCCACTGTGCTCCCAGCTCCGGGGGCTGCGGAGACCTCCTCGGGGAGATCGGTGGAGGCAGGATTCGGCCACGATGAGAGCAGGGGCCTCCAGCACGGGGACAGCATGTGCAAGGACTCGGTGACTGGTCAGGGAAGGTCTGGGCGAGATGAGCGTGTTGCGAGGTTTGGTTGTGGTGGGGCGGCGAGGGGCCATCGGGGCCGGGCGCATTGGGCACACCAGGTACCCACTCTGTGAAGCACTGTAGAGAAATGTCACTTCCTTTAGCTGAAGCTTCTCAACAACCCATTCTACAGATGAGGAACCTGAGGCTTAGGGAGGCCGTGTCACTCCCAAGGCCTCCGCCTGTGCACAGGTGTGCATGGCCCAGCCCAGGCCCAGAGTCGACTCCTGTCCTCGCCCCACGGCCCTGACCAGAGTGATCTCCTAGGCTCACTTTGTAAAGGAAAAAATTCGTAGTACAAGCTTAACTTCCGGACACTATAAAAACGTGTGTTGTGCCCTGGCCGGTTTGGCCCAGTGGTTAGAGCGTCGGCCCGCGGTCCAGAGAGACCTGGGTTTGGTTCCCGCTAATGGCACATACCTCGGTTGCAGTTTGTCCCCGGCCCCGGTTGGGGTCGTGTGGTTGGCAACCACTTGATGTCTCTCTCTCGTGTCGATGTTTCTCTCTTTCTCTCTCTCCCTCCCACTCTATCTGAAGATAAATGTAAAAATGTCCTCGGGTAAGGATTTAAAAAAAAAACAACGATGTTGTAAATCCCCTGCAATCCTGCACATGAACGCCCCGATTGTTCCAGGTGTCATCCATCCACTGAGTTTTCACCTCATGCAGGTATGAGGTGGTGGCCCCGAGTTGTACGTAACACCAAGCAAATGAGTTGTCCTGGTCGCTGCCCAGCCGTCTGGCAGGAAGCGTTCTCATTAGGACATCAGAGAGCTGGCCGGGAGCCTGCCGTCACTGGGGCCACCCCACTTTTAGGGGTGGGGAGGCCGAGGCGCCTACGTGGCTGCAGGGATTCACAGCGATTGTTCACTGTGGCCCTCGCTGTGCCGGGCACCGTGCCAAATGCTGAGACAGTTGTATCTGCTTCCTGCTGCTGCTGTAACAAGTCACAGGTGTCAAACTCGGCAGCTTGAAATGACACAGCTGGTGTGCCATGCCCTCGGCGGGCAGCCGTTCGAACTGGGCCGCCCTGGGCTGGAAGCACGGTGTCCGCAGGGTGCCTTCCTCCTGACGCCGTGAGCACTACACCTGCTCCCAGAATGTATCGCAGCCAGCAGGGACCTTGTGTGCCACCTGGCCCCACCCCACGGGGGGTGCCCACAGGGTGACTGCACGCTGGTAGCGGCCGGGAATGAGGGCCCAGTCGGCCGACTCCCCTGTTGGCCTCGCCCCGCCCCCTTCTCAAGAACAGGGAGGTAGAGAGAGCCATGCACCACCTCCATGGAAGTCCTCCGTCTCTCCAGCCTCAGTTTCCCCGTCTTCATGGGGAACCTTCAGACTTCAACGAGTGAGCCGTGGGAATGGCCACTTCCTCCACGTCGGTGAGCAGGGGCAACAGTGGCTTCTCTTTTGCAGAAGGAGGACTTGTCCCTTATTCCTGACACGTCATTGGAGTTCAGGGGGCCTCCACCATCCTACGAGGACGTGACTCGAGGTGGCACATGGGCGGAGCCAAGGCAGCGGTGAAGAGGCCTGGGACCGGCCGCGGCGGCAGAATTCACCCCGTGGTCCCCTCCCCAGGGGCCATTGCCTGAAAGAGCAAATGGCACTGTTTTGAGATCTCTGTACGGGTGGCAAGGTGGGCGATCCCCAACCCCTCCTGCACAGAAGGGGCCTCCAGGCCCCCAACCCCATGACTCCTCAGCACCTGGTTGGCCAGAGCTGCCTCCGCTGACCCAGAGCACGGCCGGTCCTCCCCCGTCCTGCAGCTCAGGGCAGCCGGTGCCCACTGCACACCAGCTACCTTCCCTGTCTGCTTTCCCGGGCAGTGGTGGGTGCCCGAGCCAGGGGAGGCCTCTCGGCGCCCAGGAGGCCTGGTCTTTCCCACATTCGACCTACTAAGAGTCTCTGGGGAACCCGTGTGTCTGAATCCCTGGACTCAGGGTGGGGGCAGCGGGGACCTTGAGTCAGACAGAAACCAGAACCGGTTCTTCCCTCCAAACTGTCCGTGAGTGAGCCTCTCTGCCCCCGGGGCCTCGGTGTCTCCAATCTCACAGTGGGGGGCAGGTGGCGGGGTGATGCTGTGACACCCCGACAGCTGAGGCGGCCAGTGAAACGGCGGCCTCCGAATTCCACACCTGCCTGTGCTGAGTAACCCCGGTGGGGGGACACCGCCCGCCTGGGCCCCGAATCGCCCGTCCGGGGGCCGACCTGGTTTCTGTATTTGTGGAGTGTGCTATAGTCCCTTTGCGTCCCTTAAGTTGATTTTTTTCCTTGTCTAATACTAGTTTAGAGGGGTACTTTGTATTGGCAATGAATGCAAAATCAATCTCTCTCCCCAAAAAGAAGCTAACCATGGAAGTAATGTGAACAGGATGAAAATAAAGCTCCGTGCACTTGCCACCCACCTCTGGGGCCTGCGCCTCCCCTGCCTCTGGCTCACTGTGCTGCAGCCGCCTGGCTTCCTCCAGGTGCCACAGGCCCCAGCACACCCCTGCCTCCGAGCCGCCCTCTCGTCCTTCCCCCGCCTGGACGCTCTTCCCCCAGGTACTTGCAGAGCCCCCTCTTTGGATCTGGACTCAGCTACTGACTCTGGGCCGAAGCCCATGTCACTTAACCCCGTCACCCACCCATGAGGTGAGTTCTGTGACTAAGATGGATCAAAGCAGCGTGTTATTACCAGGCCTGGTGGGTCTTGGTGGTGCCAAGATCAGCAAGTGGGCAGAGGTACCCGTCTAGCTCTGATGTCGGCGTAACCGCTGAGCCAGGCTCCCCTGTTCACCGGCCGGGGGCTCACTTACCTCGCTGGTGAGCCTCGGTGGTTGACAGAACAGAGCCTGGGAGAAGCTATTTTTCTTGGGTGACAGTCATCGACATAGAGTGCTAAGGGCAAAGTCACAGTGCTGCCCTCAGGGTCAGAGGGGCCTAAGAGAATGCTGGTCACGCTTTGGGATGAATGTCCCTCTGGGCAGTCAGCCTGGGCTGAGTGTTCTGGAAGGAGAGGGTGAAACAGCAGGAGCTTGAAGATCAGTACGGAGAGCACCAGGCGCACAGGCCGTGTGCTCAGCACAGACCAGCTCAGATGCCAGCTTGAGACCTCGAGCAAATGACAAGCTGCTGAGCCTCTCTTCCGGCCGGTATCACGGCGACGAGGGTGCCTGGCCCCCGGATTCCGATCGCTAAATGATTCGATGCACAAGGTGTGCTTAGCACGCTCAGAGCCTGGCACCTTGTATAACCAACATTACTGACAATAATCTCTCACGAAGGAGAGTTGGGCCGGATGCCCAGCCGGGTCCTGACTCAGGTTGCTAGGGTTCCCTGCTGGGAGGGGGAGGCTGGGCCTGCCCCTGGTGCGCTGGGTGAGCTTGGCAAGGCTCTCATCCTCTCCAGGCCTCTGTTTCCCTTGCTGCCAGGTGAGGGGTAGATGAGGGTGTGTCTGAGGTCCCTTTGGCAGTGACATCTGGACAAAGAGTTGCTCAGCTCAGCCATTTCAGTCCTTGGGAGACAGAGCCCCTTCCGGGAATGCCCAGGGCTTAAACTCGCCCCACCCCCACCCTCCCTGCCACCCTCCTCCCCTTGGGAGCCTCCCCCACCTAACCAAGTTGCCCCTGGAGGGACAGGTCGAATGCAGACCCGTATGGCAGTAACCTTGCAGGACCTCTGGGTCAGAGCTTCAGAGATCTGTTCTGTCCCCTGAGCAGCACCAGTCAGAGTCATGATTTTGAATCTAGGGGCCTGGGGTGGTGTATTAGTTTCCTAAGTCTGCAGGAAACACGTTAGCACTAACTGGGGGGCTTACACACAGAAATCCATGGTCTCACCTGTACTCATCAGGGCTCTCCAGAGAAACAGAACAAACAGGGTGTGTGCATGAGAGGGGCCTCCAGGAAGCAGGGACCCCTCACCTCCCAGCAGACCCCTCAGGTCCCCTGGTGGGCACCCCAAAGTCCTGGGGGAGGCCAGCTCTAGTCCCACATGTGCACACCCCACACCTTTCAGTAGAACAGCCCCAGAACTCTGGCTCACGTGTCTTGCATCTTCGAGCACACCAGTGCGAGTGCACAAGGCTGGGTTTGATGTTCGGAACTTCGGGCGGATCCAGGGACGTCGATGAAGATGTCATGGGCGTCGTGCACCAGCACTGACTGCGTGCCCGGCCCTCAAAGGCCTTCACACTTGTGTCTCAAGTCTATCCTCGCCACACCCTTGTACAGAGATGCCCGTCTCTGCCCCACTTCACCCAAGAAGAAACGAAGGCTTGGAGAGGTCAAGGAACACCCCCGACACAGCTGGGCAGTGGCAGGGCACCTACGCTAGTGCTCGGTGTCTGGTCCTAGGGTCCTGAGGCGGACTGCAACGTCATGAGCCAGCGGCCTCGCCCTACACGAGCAAGAGCGCTGCTGATCTACTTACAGACACTCGGAGGGCGTCGCGTCCCAGTACCAGTCTGTGACAGCAGATTGAAGAATGCACACCCGGGACCTGGGAGGTACCAAACCGAGTGGCCACATGTCCTTGGCACAGATCTAGTTTACACCTGTCGTCCTGCTATCCCACCTAGACAAAAGCTCCCATTCGGTTGGTAAATTATAGGGTCAAAACGGACCCGGGAAAAGTCGCTCTCGACAACAGGAAGCCCCAGAGACGTGAGGAGAGGTCACCAGGTGGCAGTGTGGTATCAACGCAGAACTTGGGCACCTGCTGAGGTTGCTGGTCCCAGTGCGGGCTGCTGAAGGCTGCACCCAGAAAGATTTGCAGAAAGGAACAGAATCGATTCCAAGAGGGAACAGCCAGGAAAGTCACAGGACAGACACCAAGCTGGACCCTTCCTGGGCTCTTCCGCTGACACCCCTCCTCCAGTGGTGGTCACCCCATCGCCCGCTTTTAGCATGGCCTCTGAAGGTTCCAAGAGTATTCCACACGTTTTATTCGTCCTGTCTCACCAGCAGGACAGCGTGGCCTGGCAGACTGATCGTCCGGCCTGCAAAGCAGACCAGAAACACTTGGGCACCCGGGCAGGCTGAAAACCTGGCTCCCTTTGAATGGATAACCTTTCAGTGTTCATTTAATATGAGCCTAACAAGGATGAGAAGAAATCATTTTCCCATTCATAGAAATTATAACCGTTTTTCCTTATGTTCCAAGAGAGGCACGTCGCAGGTACCACGTGACATTGCTCCTTCTCTCCTGGTTCTCCTCTCACTCAAGCCGGAGCGCATTGCTCGGTTACAAACGGCAGAGGTGATTCGAGGTGTGTGGGGTGGTAAGGAGTCTCGACCTAAAGTATAGTTACCACTTCTGTCTTCAGACACACCCTGTTTACTCTCTGTAGCTGTTATTCTCTCGTGCACAGCCTTTGCTGTGCATTGTTTGGTCTCAGAATCTGGGCTGCTGGGCAATGCCCACCCCAGGGGCTGCCAGCTGGCGGGCCTCCGGACCACCGGCCAGGGGACGCACCAACTTGCAATGTTCATCACACCAGTACCGCAAGGAGCTTGGCCGGTGCTGCGGAGGAGGAGGTTTTCTTTCTACGTACGGGTATTGCCTACTTAAGTACTTACTTACCTACTTAGGAGTGTTTTGGCAAAAGGGACACTGATCTCCTCTCTACCAGTTATGTGAGAACCCACAGGTGGAAAACTGAGTTAACAGGAAGCCGATTTCTGGTGAATCCCTGTGGTGTTTGTGGGTCTCTGGGTCAGTGCCTGAAGAAGCTGCCTACCTGGCCAGTCTCTCAATCCCCTGGACCTGCCTCCTCCAGGAAGTCCTCCTTGACATCCCCTCACCCTCAGGAGCCTCAGCTGGTAAAGCCCTATTAGTTTTACCTCTGGGCCTTGCTTGCCTTACTGGGCTGGCTGTGCCACAGACCTGTCTTATCTCCAGCTGGAATCAGCAGAGCCTGAGGACAGAGGCCCCATCTTATACTTTTTGTGGACTTCATGACACCCAGTACCTACCAGGCAACACTGGAAGCTTGCTTGAATCGATTTCTATTGTTGACGGATCCAAAGTCCTTTTAGCTGGTGTCTGGGAACAAATTCCTTGAGCAAACTCCTTAGGATAGACCTGAAGTCCCCCTACCACTCATCATACATTTAATATCTATATATATTTTGCTTTATTTCAAGAAAAGGTTGGGACTCTTAACTATTCTTAACTATTCACTCCTAACTCTTAACTGTTCTCTGTTACTTTCTTCTCTCTTCTTCTCTTCTGTGATTCTCAACAAAGTCCAACTATAATGTGAGCTTACTGTCATCCAGAAATAATCTCACATCATCACAGAACTAGGACACGGTGACAACATGAACAAAATGCTCTTCAGAAGGCATTCACAGAAACTCTGCCCACGTGACTTTTCATCCTCATTCGCTCATTCATTCTATAATTTTTTGTTGTTGTTAATCCTCACCTGAGGATATTTTTTTAATCAGTTTTTTTGTTTTGTTTTTTGTTTTTTAGAGACAGTGGAAGGGAGGGAGGGGGAGAGAAAATCATTAATGTGAGAGAGGAACACTGATTGGATGCCTCCCCCATGCACTCTGATGGGTGCCGCGGATCGAACCTGCAACCCAGGTACGTGCCCTTGACCGGGAATCAAACCCACAACCCTTCAGTGCGCAGACCGACGCTCTAACCACTGAGCCACATGGGCCAGGGCTTATTCAATACTTTTTACTGAGCAGCGACTAAGTAACACAAAGTAGTTTGGGCTCCAGAAATACAGTAGCAAACAACACCGAGGGGGAAGATCTGCTCACAGGAAACTGGCATTCTAGTTGGTGGGAAATAAACAAGCAAGCAAGCATTTATTAACGTATTAATATATGATGACCGAAGAACAAGGAAGGGCTTGCCCCTCTGCCTCTGAGGCAGTAATGGTTGGGCATCTTCCCTGCCGATCACATCTGCCCCAGGAGAGGGTGCACAACAAGGCCACGACTTTCTCCCTCGAGGTGGACACCTGACTGTGAGCCAACTACCTCTCCCCCAGTACTCTTGCTATGTGACAACCCAAACTTAGCGGTGTGAACAACCATTTTACTGTGCTCACAGGTTCTGCGTGGCACAGGACACAGTGGGAAGCGGGGACCTCTGCTGGGCAGACTCAGAGCTGGGAGTGACCTGGAGGAGGGGGGCCATCTGGAAGCATCTTCACTCATGCCTGGCAGATGGTGTGGGCTGTCAGCTGGGACACCCCACTGGTCTCCATGCGCTCTCCCCACGTCGGACGACCTGGGCTTCCTCACAGCATGGCGGCCAAGCTCCACGAATGAGCCTCCTGTGGAACCCAGGCCGACGTGCAGGCATCCTGGTGATCTGGCTTCAGAAGTCACACAGCCACGGTTCTGCCATACTGTTTTAGCCAAGGTGATCACAAAGGCCCACCCAGGTCCAGGAGTGGGGGAACATAGGCCCCACAACTCGAGGGACAGGGTGTCGGGGTCACGTGGCAGGAAGAGCTCATGGACAGGAAACAGTGTTGCAGCCAACTTTAGAAAATGCAATCGTCTGCACCCTCTACATCTAATTTCCAAAAAGTGGGGATATCTACATCTACCCTGAGTCATCTCTCGGGCAAAGCTAAAACCACCTAGGCAGAGAGCGATGCTATCTGCGTGTTGTGTAATACA